ACACTTCATTATTAGAAAATTATGAATTTTTAACTCTTACCTGGAACTATGAGGTTGGGTGATTTTTGTTGAGCTTGGATGTGTGATGTGCATATACGGTCGGTTTTCTGTTACAGGATAGGGATCTTAATACAGTTGTTGTTGTTCAGTCGTTAAGTCGTGTCCGACTCTTCGTGACCCCATGAACCATATTGCGCCAGGCCTTCCTGTCCTTCACTGCCTCCCTGAGTTTGCTCAGTTTCATGCTCATTTAATACAGTAAATACTGATAAATATAAACCGTACAAACAAAAGCTCTTTTGAGGGTCTTCCATAATTTTTAAAAGTGGGAAGTGTGAGAAACAAAGCTGCACAAATAATCCTTGGGTTTGAAAAGGCAAAGTTTATTGACGCTTCTCAGCTAACAGGCTGCAAGAAGCGTGCCGTCAGAGATTTTAGCAAGGTTTTTATGCATCCCTTCACGGGTCCCTTGGTCCTGCCTCATTTTTACCCCTGGGGGGGGCAAATCTGAGTTCACAACCTATCCGAGAGGCCTAAAACAAATACATTATACAATGATTCCCAACCCCCCCTTTTTTTTTCTTGTTCAGAGCTTATAATTTTCTTGAGATAAGTTTCAAGGCCCAGGACCATCTGTCTTCACTAAATAACTGCCTTTTGTGTTATTATCTTTTCTTCCTTCCTTGTTTTGCACATTCTTACAAATAAAAGGCAACACTTGTTTCCTTAGCTTTCATCCCCATTTCTCACCTTGGTGTGAGTAATCCCTTCCTTTCTGTAAACAAGTTCAAATTCCAAGCCTAATCACTTTAACCATTTAGTTGCAGAAAGCCTTGTTACTAGGAAGTTTTGTTAAAAGGTAATTTCTACTCCTTACAGAAGGGAGAGAAAAAAGTTTAAGAAACACTGGCAGAGAGAACAGCAATAGTCCAAAGCTGATTTGGGACCGAGGGGTTCATGAAGATCGCTCTCTTATTCGGGCTGCTTGAAAAGCTCCGTTTCAGAGTTTCAAAGCAAAAGCAAAAATGCAATCTGGGTGCACGATGAGTTTTTTCAGTCCAGGATCCAGCTGGGGGGAAAGGTTGGGAGGGCCAGTACGAAGAGCAAGGGGAGATCGTTGTTTCCCTAGGCTGGACTGGGCTGGAAAGCCATCTTACCTTCCCAACTCCAGCCCCCCTTCCAGCCCTGTTGTCTGTTCTTCAGACAGCGCAGAAAACCCCGTGAAGCTCCAACCGCAAGCGTGTCGATTCTTTTCGAGCACAAGAAAATCTCACTTCGGAACAACAGGGAAAGAGAAACTAGCTCCCCCATCTGCTTAAAAAAAAAGTAAAATAGCTCTTCCGGAGGGAAATGGCCAATTGAACACGGCTCTGTTTTTGTGCAGCCGACGCCCGCAGTAATTAGAGGAGCTGGCGATCGGGTCCGGTCTTCGGAATCACCTCCAGATGAAGGAAATGCCAGGATTACCCACAGGCAGTCCTTAACAGAGGCTCCCTCTGAAGGAATTGCAATCCAGCAGTTTCCAGCTGATGGACAGCCTGGAAAGGGAATTCTGCTTTCACTTCCTCTTTTAACTAACTTCGGAAAGTTCCTCTTTGTGGTTTATTTGGAAATTAAAATCTTCGTGAAAGGCAAATTGCTGTACACCGGGAGAATTTCCTTCTATCCTGGGAGAAAGAAGATTAAAGTAAGTTTAAGGGTCAAAAAGAAATATTTTAACGTTTGGAAACAGCGACAGGGAATGAAGAATGCTAACTGGGGCCAGTTAAGAGGCTAGATGGATCGGAAAAAGCTTTTTAAAGAATTGTTTTAAACGTTTAAGAAAATACAGTAAGTGAGTTTGGATTTAATTGCAAGAAAATCTGTCCTGGGAAAGTTTGGTTCTGAAAATAAATAATAAAGATAAAAAGATCTCTTTTAACACAATGGAGGAACATCTTTCTTTCAAAGAAGAATTTTTAGCTGTTTGGAATCCGTGTGTCCAGGTACTGTTTCTAAAATTGGGACTAACAGAGGTTGTAGAAGAAGAAGAAACTTCATTGGACAAAATAGAAGTTGAGGATGATGAATAAAGACTTTAAAATGGACTTTAAAGAAATGCCAGATTACAGGAGAGACATGGAAGATGTGGGAAAAGGTGCCGTGGGACTGAAGATGGAATGTTATTATTATTGGTCTTTCTATGCTAAGGGGATCTGTTTTTTAGAAAAAAAATATGAAGTGGAAATACAAATTAGACCTATTTGTTTAAGCTTAAAATGTATAGTTTATTATTACTGGCACTCTTAATGCTTTTGCTGATTAGATTGATTGTTGAATATATTGCATAATTTGGTTATTGCTGAGGGATGAGAAAGGGGATGAAGAGGGCTTTTTTCCTGTAATATTAGAGAAGATGTTAAGTTACTGTTAATGCATATACTTGTTTGTAGGGAGGGGGAAGTCATCTTTTATATTTTTCTCTTTCTTTCTTTCTTTCTTTCTTTCTTTCTTTCTTTCTTTCTTTCTTTCTT